TTAATTGGTGATTCTAAATTGTCCGTAGGTGTGAATGTGAGTGTGCTTGGTTGTCTGTCTCTAAGTGTAGCCCTGTGATAGACTGGTGACCTGTGGTGGCTGGTGGGGCGCAGTCTGTAAATGACCGTTTCTTTTAAATTACAATATGAGCAACATCAGGCACAATTATTTACCGGGATGCAAACTGTCTACCCATGAAGGATGTTCTAATCTAATTTCACATTATTAAGACTTATCAGAACTAAATTTCAAAACCATTCATCAAACTTTCATCAACATTTACAGGATCTGTACAAACTCATAACACACAACATAAATACTGAAAAAAACACTATTCAGGGCTCCAGATGAACTCTCTCACTGGTAGCACCAGTACGACCCACTTTCTCATTTTGGTGCACCTCCCACCTGGTCAAAGGCAAAACGACTTGCTGAACATTTTCTTATCGATAGACTCTACGATTTACTGATGTCCCCTAAACGCCCCACATAGCAGGCTGTGGTAGATGCTGTTTGGTGGCTGAGGTGTGCTCTGACCAACAATGACTTAAAAAATAATAAACTAGGAGGTTCTAATGTCAGATTTGTCCGAGATTAAACCGAGTTACACATTGTAGTTACAGTTTCACGAGAAGACCTCATTTTTAAGCGTAAATACCGCGGTACACCGACGTTCTAAAAGTCCTACTTTCCACCACTGTGGTCCACACAGCAGCTTCCTGTGCTGGTTACAGCAACACTAATACAGCTTCATGATCATCAATTCACACAGTCTTAAAATAAAAGTCGCAAATGCAGTCTGGAGCTATTTGAACAAAAAAATGGCTCTTCTCTCTTTCTGCTCAGCAAACTTGTCTATGACTTTTTAGTTGAAGTCACTCATCTCTGTGACCAGTCCTGTCTCCATTGACAGCATGGCCAACGCACTGAACCGTCACGACAGTAGCTGTCATTTGGTAGAAGAGCGACGGGACAGGCCGCGTGACGGCGTCAGAAAGCCCAGTCGTAAGAACGTCAAGACAAAATTAACTGGCTTACAGTTAAAGTGGACGCACCGATCTGCGCCCCATGAGAAACTCTGCAGCTGCCAATCAGAGCCCGGGCTGAGGTCACATGACCATGAAAAGTTTTTCGAGCTACATACACACTCATGTGGCCGCGCCCCACATCCAGGAAGTGTAAAACTAGTGTAAAAACACGCAGTAACGACTAACTTTAAACCTGTTAATAATACAAATATATGAATGTGGCAAAAGAATATGAATGTCATTATTAATTTAATTATCATTTTGTTGTAATTAATTCAAATTCAATATTGTGTTTGACAACTACTTTTTATCTGGTCATTAGTAGTGGGTGCCCTGTATTAACCACTGCTGGTGACCTGTCCAGGGTGTCTCCTGCCTTCACCCTGAGTCAGCTGGGATAGACTCCAGCCCCCCATGACCCCAGTGAGGATTAAGCGGTGTATAGATAATGGATGGATGGATGTTTATCACCTCAACTTCTATTACATTTGAGTCGCAGAGCTAAATTTAGCATTACTTTTTTTTAAAAAACAGAAATGTCCAGCAACCCAGAAGGTTATTTAACAACAGCTTGCATTCTTCTGAAGGAAAACCGTCACACTTCAAATCTTATCCAACTGTCCTGATGAAAAAAACAGTTCATCTGTTGCACAATTAAAAAGAAGCTTTAATAGCTACATTGAAACTATATATATTTCTGTACTGGTAGCTAGAAATAACACAGCTTATCTTTTTTTTTTTTTGGAAAATGCAAAACAGAACACAGTAGCATTAATGTTGAACAACTGAAAATAATGCATTTTGTTTGTCTTTATTGTAATGCCACACAACTTAGGAAAAAGGATATGTCTTTTTCAGCAACCGTCTTTGTTTGGATTCAGAAAACCTTAAAGTCTGAGTTAAGAAGCTTTTTTTTTTTACTACACAACAAATGGTATATTTGTTCATCCAGATGGTTCGAGCAGCATTTGTGGCTCACAGAAATGCCTTAAGGACTGCTGTAGTCGTTCTTCTGGGTTTCTCAAAGGTCACCTCTTATTTTTCTAAATGTTTGACGCTTGTCGCTGTTACTCAAATATAAAGGTAATGCATGAGCGGAACCAACTCTGGGTCTAATTCGAAAATATTAGTTTTAGAAAAGAAAAAATTAAACAATTGGGGGGGGAAAGCTAATTCTGTTATCTTTTGCTTTCTCGACTGTTTTATTTCAGCTAAGTTTGACCCACCAGAGATCCTGCAAATTCAAGTGATGCCTAAAAGATATGGCTGCCTGAGGCTGAGGTGGAGCTTATCCCCGAACCAGCTCTGGATGCGTAACAAGCATATGAATCTGGAAGTCCGTCTCAGGACTGCTGACAGCAACCAATGGGGAGAATTGACAGTAAGTTCAAATCAATCCACTGTGAAAGCATCTGATGTTTCTAATGTTTGATAAAGTATATAAGCATCAATATGTCCTGCAGGAAGTTCAGTGTTTTTTATCTGGATTCACACTTGTATGGATCGTGTGTTCTGGGACAGGTCTTTGCGAGCCGCCTCAAACCATCGAAACCTTTGGACCAGTGTCGTCTCCGTCACTGGACCCGGTACTTTGCCCAGATTAGAGTCAGATACGAGCAGAGCCCCTGGAGTGAATGGAGCCGCAGCCAGTCTGGAGTCACCTTGGAGAGCGGTAGGTCTGAGATCAATTCAGAGTGACACAATCAGTCGCTTTAACATTTTCCAATCTATTGCCTTTTCTTCCATTTCCTGGTCTTTTCAATATATGCTAATGTCATGTTCTGCGTCTCCCATTGCTTTGCTCTGTAGCACAGGCTGAATTGATGTATTGAGTTTTGTCGCACACTCTCGTAGTGAATCCATAAACCTGTCTTGTATAGAAAAGTTTTACTTTCTAAGGAGTGAGAGGAGAAGTGTAGGGCTTTTGACAAACTGCAATGCTGACAGCCGTCTCTTTCTTTTCAGCTCCCACTGGACGCCAAGACTCGTGGATGAAAGTATCAGGGGATCACATGCCCAAACAACTCAACATACACTTGTTTTGGAAGGTACACACATCACACGCGTTGCTTGACACCTGTCACAAACTGATGTGTTTTCTCTTGTAGTTCTGGTGGAATGTGTGCGGCCTGCCTCCTCACTTTTTTTTTTTCTTCTCCCGTTATAGCCATCAAAACAATTCCGTGCCAACGGCCAAAACGTGTCATATATCGTCTCGGTGCAAAAACTGCCAGGTGAAAAAGGAAAGGTGTGCTCTACAAGGGAGAATCATTGTGCTTTTCAGCTTCCTGGGAAAATGAAGAAAGTGTACCTGAGTGCTGTAAATGCAGCAGGCAGATCCTCCCCCACTGAAGTTCGGATATCCAAACCTACAGGTTACTGACATCTTTAAAATGGTTCAGATAAGATACAGTAAAGTACGGTTTTTTCCAACAACATGCATTCTTTCTTTCTTTTTTCGGTCTGTAGATCGTGCTGCGATATCAGACATCACAGCCATTCCTCATGGTGACAGATCACTACTGGTCCAGTGGAGAAGTGTACCTACTTCTGATCTTGCTGGTTTTGTGGTGGAATGGAAACCTTTGTTGAAGCCAGGGCTCTCTCACATCCAGTTTGAAATTGCCGACAAGAACCAGTCTAGCCTTGTTATTACAGGTATGTTTCATAGTATTTGTATTACATGCTTGAAGATCCCCGTGCTTCTTATTTTACTCACCTTTTGTTTGGTTTTCCTAACCTGATGATCATCCTTAAGGACGAGAATTCAAACAATCTCCGCCGTTCAAGATTTTCTTTTTCCTGTGCGCAACCTGCCTGCACAGTGTTAGGATCTTGTGGGCACTGATCCACTCTAACCTCTTCACTCTCATCAATAGGCAGCTTTGAGCCCTACAAGCCCTATGGGATCTCTGTATATCCTAGGTTTAAGGACGGGATAGGCCTTCCTCAGACTGCTAATGCCTACTTGAGACAAAAGGGTAAGTCACCAAAGACACGAGGAGGATCACACAAAGAGAAAGCAGAGGTGTGAGAGTCAAGCTGCCTCAACTTTGAAGAAGTGAGAAGAGTTTGCACAAGAGTCAAACACATATATATATTGTGCAATTTCTCAGGGAACAGCTGATATGTGATGGAGTAATGCCCTCTTGTGGACAGAAATGAATAATTACCTTTGCTAGCCAGCAGGACTGAAGACATAAGCTGTAATGTATAATGTTAAATTCTGACTGCTCTCTACAGTTTTAATAATCACTTACGACAATATTCCTTTTTTTAAAGCTCCATCCATGGTTCCAAAATTACAAATTAAAAGGACTTGGAATTCACACGTTGAGCTTACTTGGGAAGAAATACCATTAGACTGGAGGAATGGCTTTATCCAGAAGTACAAAATCTTCTACTGGAATGAAAAGGGACCCATCAACAGTAGGTTAAAAATCTTAACTATGCTGTTGTAAAAGTATTTTTTATGAGCTCGATGTTCTCTAATGTCTGACTTTTCTTTCAGTTGTGGACGCTGGTCCAGAGGAGAGGATGGTGATCCTTGAACATATCAACACTGTGTCTCTGTATGAAGCGTTCATGATGGTCAGTACATCTGGCGGGAGCCTCAACGGGTCGACGATTCATTTCCAAATGGAGCCATTCGGTTGGTATCATTTGGTACTGGCTTTATGTATAAGAACTACAAACGAACAAAAGGTGTTTTCTCCAATCGGATGTGTTTTTCTTTTCCCAGATACAGTTGCTGTTGTGATGATTGTAATTGCAACTGGTGTGGGACTGTCGTTGTTCATCATTTTCATAGTCCTGACTTGTTTCTCCAAACACAAAAGGTAAGATCGTTGCCATGGCGTGTTAAGCCATGAGTCTTTGATGGGTTTTTTGTTTTGTTTTGTTGTTTTTTCTTTTTTTCTTTTTTTTTTATATTCCTAACAACTGGCGACCTGTCCAGGTTGTCCCCTGCCTTCGCCCTAAGTCGGCTGGGATAGGCTCCAGCCCTCCCATGACCCTAGTGAGGATTAAGCGGTGTATAGATAATGGATGGATATTCCTAACACAATTTTTGTCTGTTCTTCTACTTCAAGGTTAAAGGGCCGTTTCTGGCCAGCTGTTCCAGACCCAGCTAACAGCAGCATTAAAAGATGGTCATCGGAGTCAACGGAGGTGTGTACAGCTGACATCCACCTGATAAAAGGCTTATTCTGTCTTTTTCAGATGTTAGCTTAAAGCTGCAATAGCCAATACTTCCACATCAACAACAGATCGACTGACTGTGATTAATACAGGGATCTCTAAAATGGATGAACCCCTACAGAGAATCATGACTAACTCCACAGTTTCCCTCAGCTCTATACTAATATTTAAGCATCTTGATTTTCCTTTTCCAGGATACTTATCCTTCCTGGGACAAAGAGGATCCAATATACTTGTCCCACCTCAGCTTCCTGGACCTCCCCATGAAGCCAAGCAAAGAAGAGGACGATCTTTGGTTGAACAGTGCAGAGGACACCAGTGACCTGGGAGAGTCCATTTGTGGTTCACCGTTCATCCCCGGATACTCTGGTTCAAACAGCGACTCTGTTCCTTATGCTACCGTGATATTTTCTAGTCCGTGCAACAGTCCACCTCCCACACAGCCTCCTGTCTACCTGCGCTCTGAATCCACACAACCCCTCCTGGAGGCAGAAGAGTCCTTCAGTCCAAAGTGCTACCAGAATGTGGGGTCTGATGGGATGCCAAGGGAGCAGTGTTTTTTTGGGCCATGCCATGATTGTGTACCCAAAGATGGGCCAGATCCAGTCATTGTTTGGGATGACTTTCCTTTTCTACAAGCATTAGCCATGAATGAGCCTCAAAATGACTAAAAGTGCTTTACAGATTTTGCTAAATGTTTATGTATTTCTGAGCTTGTTGATCCAGCATAGAATACAGCTGTAAATGCAAGCTATAAATAATGCTAAAATCACTTTGATAATGATTTTTGATGCATGTACCTCTCTTTGTAAATACATCACATCTTTCAAAAATAAACTTTTTACAGAAGACAATATATTGATGAAATCATGTTATTGTGGGTTATATGTGGATACTTTTTCATATATTAAATATATATATTAAAAAAAAACTATAAAGACAGAAAAACATTGCTTTATCAGTAAATAATTCACAAGTTAAATCTGAGGTCAGTGAGACGCTTCTGCTGGTCGGATGAGAGACTTATGCTACACTTTGAGCTACTCAGATGTCAGCGTAACCTTTATACATCAATTTAGTTGTATAAAATGCAAGAAATGAATCATGGAATAAGAGATTGGAAAATGTTTTTATCTAGTTAGTTAATGCTAAATACAATACTAGTGTTGTGAGTCATGGACTGATTGGGTTGTTTCAATATCAACCCCAGCCTGAAACCTCGTTGTCTCCAGTATATATACACACTCGTCCTCAAATTTATTCATGCCCTCCCATTAAAGAAAGGGACAAGAACAGCTGTCACTGAAGTAAGTTGAAATTGACAAAAGTAATAATAAATAAAAATGTGATTAAAATTATGTCATTGCTTTTGCTTCAACAGATTTTTTTTTTTTTTTTAACCAGGCAGGTTGGGCCTTTTAACTTATTTTTTTTTTGACCACCTTTTTGGGCCATTCCTTGCATTCAGTTTTTTTTTTTACTTTTCATTCACACTTCTGCAACTGTTGACAGGTATTTTGATTTTGGCTCACTGCTCATCAGCAAAGTGCTCTAATTTGTTTTTTTTTTTTTTTTTTTTTTTAATATTCTTTTCAACCACAATTCTAAAGCAGTGTTGTATTTCACTAAATTATAATTTAACAATTTTTTATTTATTATTACTTTTTTCGGTTTCTAGTTATTTGAGTGACTATTGGGAATTTTGCCTTTTCTTTAATGAAAGGGTGTGAATACATTTCAGGGCAACTGTGTATAGTATATAGAGTTAAGAAAACCTAAAGCCCCTCATGTCAAAAGCATTGTGTATCAAAGTAAATACAATGATTTACTTATTAAATTAAAATAATGTAAGACTTGATTTACTGTTGTTTTTTTCATTAAAGAAACCAAAATCCATGCATCCCTTTTTGTCCTATCGATGTGTTCTGGGATTGACAGCGTGGCCTCGTGACGTTCACGCTTCCTCCATCCTCACTCGGCTAGTTTCGTCTAACCAAAATGGCGAGGCTCGTGTAGGGGTCGAGTGTGACCAAGTGCCACATTTTCAGCATTTTTAGAGAGTTTATTTTGTACCTTGTTACCTGCCCTGTGAGCCATGTTCACAAACATAGGCCTGCGGGCTGTGCTGAAGTCGTCCGTTGGGGTTTTGCGCGAAAGCTCCGCTCTGTGTTCGGCTGTGTCAGTGAAACCCTGGACGTGTAGCTCGGCTTTACTGTCCGGACCGACAGTCAGTCGTGGTAAGAGAAGATATAAAACACGGTGGAGACTATACAGTTTAGCGGAGTAATTATCTGTCTAGCATATTTCATTAGGTCTGAGTGTTTACTACCCTGTTAGCAGTTAGCTAGTTGTGGCATCATCAGTCGGCGCTGTTGACAGAGCTGCAGTAGTGGAAGTGCGGTCTGCTGCATGCTAAGCAGCATGTCACTTAAAGGGGCTCAGTTTCTGAATTTCTTTTTATCAAATCAAGTATTGGGTCTGCCCTTTCACTTGTGGTAAAGTGTATATCTAACAACAAACCAAACACAGTTAGTGGGTTAGAGACAAAAATCCTACATCGCTGTGAAATCACGAGGAAAGTTAAAAACACTGTATTTATGGTTACAGTTAAGCTAGTTACACACGTTTTCTAATGGGCATACAAAATGAAATGATAACCTAGGATCATTGTGGTTCATTTGCTTTTGTCAGGTAGCTAAAAGTAAGACCTTTACACTAACAAAGCTAAGCTATATAATAGAAAACATCTCACAGCAACATGCAGTGAATTCAACAACAAATGCCTCCAAAATTAATTTAAAGGTTGAAGACAGCTGTCTACAATCTTCATATCAAGTACATATAACACATAAAGTCCACAGGAGTCAAAAGTAAAAGAGTAAATTGCATAATAGTTACA